AGTACCAAATTTCATAATTCTCAGTAGAGGATGGCCTGAATCTTACCCTTTGTTTTATATCAAAAAGACAAAATTTGACGCTTGGCCACGCCCACATGCTTTGATGTAGAATAATCCTTTTGATACCCAATGTCTAAGGTTAATGTGGAGTGAAATTAGAAGTTTGCAACTCAAACGCTTTGAGAGGAGTTCGCTCAGATGTCATAAAGCTAAATAAGTAAAGTGATTGCCTCGATTCAAAATGGCCGACTTCCTGTGGGGTTTGGACCATGGCTCCAAGAGGCTTTTTGTAAGTTCCATCATGGGATGACATATGAAGCTCTACAGAGAGCACTCACCCCCTCCACCCGCTGGTACAGCCCAGCTGATTTCTCCAGGTCCAGCGGCATCCCATTAAGAGCCCAGGTGAAAGTCAAGTCCATGGTGGGGTCGTGGGAGGCATGACACTGCAGCGTGACGTTCTCCCCCTGGTTGACGTCGGCATTGGAAGGAGCCAGAGTGATTTTGGTGGCATCTGCAAGAGAAACACGTCTGTAAATAACGGAGGTCAGAGAAACAGGAAGGATGAGGGGAGATTGTCTGCATTTTCTTCTCATTCCTGAATGATTAGATTGATTACTGGGATGTAAAGAATCAGGCGTGGAGGAGGAAAGGAGGCCGTTCATCTTTAATCCAACAGCGCAGCCGAGTTCACTTTAAAACAGGAATCCCTTTGACTGGAGACTGTTGGACTGATGTTTGTTTGAAAAATGTAACATGAAATCAATAAAAGTAACTTTTATTCTGTAATTTTTTTATAAGCGGATCCAAATTGTTAATATACCGTATGCACAATTAGATAATTAAATATACCAATTAAATTATGAAAGATACATTTAAAATGATTAATTAAATAATTACGTTATTAAAAAAATAATACTTTAGAATGAAATACCTTTTTTATTTGTATAAATGAATATTGATTGAAGTTATAAAAAATCTCTATTTATTCACTGGATTGCTGATTGCCCGTTGGTAGAGGGTTAAAGTGAAGCCACCAGCCGCCATATTGGTACTCCCTAGTTGGACCGGTCACAATGTAAACAATCTGTGCGCTACAACATTGAACAACGATGATGTTATCATACATAACACTGACATTTCACAGTGAAATACTTTCTATTTTCTCTACTTTCTATTTTCTAACGTTAGACCCAATATCAATAGCTAACTCAGTCAATGTCTTCCAGTCAGTCCCAGATAGCCAGACTAATGTTAGTCTACAGACTAAACTATAGGATCCATCGGCTATAGATGGATTTATTGCTTAGTTCATCCACTAACTGGAAAATGACCTGTGGAACGTCTTCCAACAGCCAGAAAACTGCTGGGTTTAGCAGCCAGATGCTGCACAGGGAGGCATTTTTGGGGAGTACCAATATGGCGAGCGGTGGCTTCACTTTTTTCAGCCAATCAGCAATCCACTGAATAAATAGAGATCAGTGGTCTGACCCAACATGTTGAGACAATAACAGCACAGCGTGTTACAGAAATATCAGCTTCAGCTTTGGCAAGTTGTAAACAGGTGGGTTTACCTCTAACAGATAGATGTCCCGTACTGTTGGCCTTGCCCAGGTAATTTTCAGCAAAGCAGGTATATTTCCCTTCATCTGCCCGGCTGATGTTATAAATCCACAAAGTGCCATCTGGAGTCACTTTGATTCTGAGAGGACAAAGGTGAGAAAAACAACAGCTGGATCATAAAAGCACATCAACAAATTTATGATCCTTAAAACTAGAAAAGTCACAAACCAAATCAATATTTCCATTTTGTGCATCAGTTTCTCTTATTGACTTTATGGCCCTGATCTATTAAAGTGTTTGCTTTAAAACAAAAAAAGGTTTAAAGCTGATCTACAGACAGATCGCAGCCAGAAATGCCCCTGTGACACCAACAAAGTAGCAGGCGCATTTAATTTAGCCTGTGTGCCTTCAAAATACTGCAGAAGAGATTCTGCTTACCAAAACATGTAAAATACTGGGAGGATATGTAACCCTGACCTAAAACATTCTGGCAGTGAAGTTTCTGCTTCTATTGTTAAAAGTCTGTGCCCTCATTTAGCACTACATTACCCATGATGCACCAGTGAGTTAGCTGGTTACATTGTGCTTTGGTTTGGCTCATTTCCGTGAGACCATCCACAGTGCTGGGATTACCAACCGATGCCAATCCTTTGCTAATCATGTGTGTATTTTGTTCTTATCATGTAAGCATTTCTACGTGGTGTATCTGGTACCTCGGCCTTTAGTGGGTACCCCTCAACTTAATATCTGTTACTTATCCTTTGAGATCCATATACTGTACATATGGACAATCATTTCCAATGATGGGTGTCAGGAGGTTCATATCACCACTTTTGCCTTTTGATTTAAAAAAACCAGTAGTATTCAAATGTAAAATGTAACAAGCACAGGTATAACTGGGAGGAAGATCAGTGTGAGGATATATACAGAGATCAGTTAGCAAGAAGCCCTGTTAAGACAACAGCAATTATCTACTATTATCCAGGTGGTGCCCTGTTCCTCGTTGAGCCTCCCTGCACACCTGCGGCTCGTTGGATCATCACCGGAGGAGTATTTGAGCTGCAGGCTGCCACTACCTCGACGCCAGAGTGTTTGGCAGTTTTGGGTACTCTAGCTAAGCTAAGATTAGCAGAGTCTAACCGAAGCTTTGTTTCTCTGAGTCTAATCTTGTCTTTGTCTTTGGCAGGAAGCCTTTCCTGTGTAACTGGATAACCTGGACCTTCTCCCCCTGGAAGGATTACTGAGTACACACTGAGCAGAGATAAACCTCCACATGATCCGTTCAAGTCCTCATCGGAAAACCAAGTGACAGTCCGATCCTTTACTCCTCTGGGTCCAACGTATGTCTACCTGTCCGCTCTCCGAGTTCCCTCTCCTCTGGATTAATCCCCCACAAACTAGATTCAAGGATTTACAAGCTAGGCCTCTCAAACGTGAGTTTCTCTCCAGCTATATTCAAGCCTCAGTCAATTTTCCTACGGTCCCTGAACTGATCACCGTGACCTCTCCTTCCAGTTCCAGCTCCTACTTCTGTGTTTCATCAACATTCAATAAACCTGTTACACCTTTTCCCTTGGTAGTTCAGATCGTTTAAACCATTTATGACAATCATCAGATTAGATATGCATCTAATCACCAGATAAAACGGCGCATAAAGGATGAAAATAAAATATTTAAAACTAGTAGACATGCTGATTATTTATAAAGTAAATCCATCCTTCTGTCTTTGTGCAGGAAGTCTTAGTATCTCCATTTAGCATCAGCCATTGAGGTCAGAAACACTAAATGCAGATTTTAGGGAATCTAAAATGTTGATTGTTGTTAGCTTAACTTGGCTGTAAACAATTCGCTCTAACTGACCAATCAGAGGACAGAAAATGCAGACGAAGGGGCGGGCCCTCTAGCTGGCCCCGTGGGGCGTATCCGAAATCTGATTGGTTGAAGAAACTATTCCTCACTAATATTGTTAGAAGACCCTGGGAGGATTTGATCTACATGGCAACACACTACGGCTGAAATCTGATTTCCCACTTGAACAATGTAGTGTCTCCAAAAATCTGAGAAACGTGTCGTCTCGATCAACATCTCATCTGTCGTGGCTTTCTCCGCGGTGTGCTGGTCATGTATTCTCCTCATGTTCGCCTCACAGGTAGGTTGTAAGATGGGTCACCTGTGGCCGCCTGGAGAACGAGCCTTTAGACGTCAGCCACGCTGATGGGCTGGCAGCTTGTGGCGATCTACTGAGCGAGGTGATTGGTTAGCTGGGCTGATAGAGCTGTGCTTATAGCTTCATCCATGTCAGCACGTCACGTTCTATGTGGTAATTTCACAGTCGCCTACGCGGGTAGGAAGACTGATCCGTTCTCGCCCCCAGATATAAATCCCAACTACAATATCAAGGTGAAAGTCATCATTAGTACAGATCCAGCTCCGATCCCAACTGTGAGAATAGATTAACGCCGATAATCACCCAGTAAGGGTCTGTCGCTCGTTAACGCCGATAACAGCCCAAGCAATAAATAAATGTCTTGCTACTTCTCTGTTGCTATCTGCGCACTGCTGTCCGTACGGCTGTGGTGCTGAAAGAGGCTCAATCTCCAGCCGCTATTTTCATTTGTCTGTGTCTAAGGTTACGTTTACACTGCAGCCTAAAGTGACCATTTTTGCTAATATGCGACCTGGATCTGATCTATTCATGACAGTCTGAACAACACAGATCTGATTCTCTTTCTAGTGCGACCCAGGTACCTTGGATCTTTGGTCCTGAATCCGATGCAAATCTGAAGTTTTCAAATGTGACCTGTGAGTGAACGGCCAGGTCGCATTCATCCCACCTGTACGCCATTATGTAATAGCTAACATAGGTCACTATTCTGCGTCTTGCTACACAGAAGCAGCAAGAAAAACAGCAACCATGATGGACGATGATAAGGAGAGCAGTATTTATCTTTAACCATCTTAAAAAAAATTTTTTAAGGGTGGAAAAGATCTCTAGATGTTCTCCAGCGCTACCATCCATGTTTACTTCCATAAACACAGAGCACGCTGGCATGTGATGTCATGGCGTCCTCTACTGCGCATGTGGGACACTTAAGCTCTATGAATGCAGTTCACACAGGAGATCATATAAAGGTTGTTTTATATTTGGAAATGTGAAAAGCAACGCAAAAAGAATTTAGATTTCACAAAAAAATCTGAGCTGAGCATCAAGGCCTGTCAGAAGAGGAGCTACTCTGCTGTGCTTGTGCCTCCAACTGATTATTTTATTTTACAAAATCAGAGAAGGTCCTTCCTCTTGTGCTCCACTTAGCTGAGCTGCAGGAACAGTGCTGCAGATAGATGTCATGCCGTCTGTGGGCAGTGCTGTTGCATATTAAGGCTAAATTTATGATGCACAAAAATAGACCAGTGTGTTCCTCCAAACACAACCTCTTTATTTAAATATGCTGCCTACGATAGTTATGGATCACTTACCCAATGAATCTGCAGCTGCAGTTGATCAACTGTAATGTGGCAATAAGTGCAATTTATGTCTTTTGTTGGCTATTTTTACTGTTTTCTTATCAGAAAGCAGTCAAAATGATCTGATATTTCTCAGGTTCTAAAATACTCTTAATCACTTTGACTTATAAATGTTAATTAGAACGTGTCCTTAAACGTCATAGCTGTACCTCTTTAATTAAAATAATTTTTTTCAAAGATAACATAAAAGTATTCATTTTGCAAAAAAAAAAAAAA